TATCTAGGAAATTAGAGTGAATGGAGAGCTCCTACAGCAGTAAAAATTCCTTGAAAATAATAATATAAAAATTTAGAATTATGTATTAATTTGAAAAGTTGACATTAACTATGCAGGTAGAGTAAGGTAGTGGTGTTACAAATTTTATTAAGGAAAAAGGTAACTCTATAAAGACTGAAACAAATGCTTCTATAGATGAGCATACTTCATATATTTTTACACCGTTCATCTTTATTCTTAGCATGTGCAATACTCAACTGTTGTGATATACACCTGTTACGTAGACTTGACAAATAAAGAGACACATAAGTCTGAGACAGCTCTGAAGTATAAAAATAAAAAAAAAAAGAACTATACCACTGGTGATTCCTGCAAAGTAGCGCGACCAACGTTGATGAATGGAACTGTGGAACAAGTCTGGCATAGTGATTCCATTGAGTCCCCGAAGGAGGCGTAAGAATCGCTATTGATCAGTGTTCAGCAACGTTGAATACCTCTACCGTGAGTCTCGCAGTGCGAGATAGGTGGCTTTAGGCTGATTTGTGGGAAATTTGAATTTCAAGTTTCTCTAATGATAGTTTTCAGCTCTTTCCAGGTTCAGAAATGTTTAATACGATTCTTTACTAGAATTTCGGAGAAATTGAAGAACTTTAATGGAACGTTAACCGCATGTAAATGAGAATTCTGATAAAACTTTGAAAGATAGTAAAATAGAGGTTTGATAAAACTTTGAAAATTGCAAACTCAAATTTCGATAGAAGTTTGGTAACTAGTGAATTAAAATTTCGATAGAACTTTAAATAGAAGAATTACATTAGCATATTTATTACCAATTTTTTCAAATTCAATTTCGTGAATTTCGATAGAAGTTTGGTAACCAGTGAATTATAATTTCGATAGAAGTTTGGTAACCAGTGAATTATAATTTCGATAGAGGTTGGGCAACTACTGAAATGAAACCTTAACACAAAGCCTGAACCTTAAATAAAGAAATCACATTAACGTATTTACTGCTTTCGCGAAGAACCAATTTTTTCAAATTCAATTTCTCAAAAGAGATCAGAATTGTTCCACGCAGTCGTTCCTGGTCCGCAACAAGCGTAATACGCGAAAGCAGCACACTATCAAACGCGCTTAATCTAATCTGATCGATCGCGACGATAGCGAATTCAAAAAATTCATAATCCTCCGGAGTCGTGAAACAACCACGCTCGTGTTTGCATCAGAACGTGGAAAAATGAAGGAACGAAAAGGAAAGTGGAGTGGCTGTATCTTACGAGCAAAGAACAAGGCATCGCGAGTCAGCACAGCGGAATTCTGCAGGTGTTAATCGAACCGATAACTCGTTGCCTATCTGCAGAGAATTTCAAACCGCTTGGACTTTATCCGGACAATGAAAATCCGATTACACGAAACCCTCCAAGGTCTCGTTGGCCTCCGAAGACGGTTAAGAAACTTTCCTAATTTTCCAAGGTATACCGAGGAACAGCTGTTTCGAAAGTTTCTACCGAGGAACCTCGTCTCGAGTCCGTTGAATGTTAATCTCAGACGTGGAAACAAGTTGCTCCGAAGTACGTTTGGTCTTAAAAGGCGAAGAACGATCAGTTTGGAAAGGAGAGCAGACACGTGGATATTCTTTGTCAGAAAAATAAGTAATTAAGCTACCTTAGAAGCGAGGTAATTACTGTAACAAGGCTGTATTGGTCGTTCCTCTTCCGAGATGTCGCGAATGATTCATCGAGACTGTCTGAGGGAAAAAAACCGGTTGACTTTGAGGACCTGAAGAATCTGTGGAAAATTGGAAAATACTTTGCAGAATTTTATTGAATTTTTGCTTTTATATATTGGTAATAGGGACGAATGATATTGTATGAGGTAATAGGATGACTAAAGAGCTAAACGAACCTTTAACGACATGATGAGGGGTTCTTCCAGTGACAAGTCCTCGTTAGCCTTTTCTCAGATCTGGAAGAGATTTGAATTGATGCGTTATGGGTGTGTTATAACGTTGCAAAGTCTGGTCATCGATTATTACAACCCCGTTACGACATGGGAGAATTAGATCTATTGTTCGGTAAGCTTGGATCATGCCGAGTGATCTAAATATCGTGTCACGAGCGGTACAAATGTCGAGTAATAGAGAAGAGACGTGTAATTCTTTTCTGGGAAGTCGTAGGGACAATGAGAATCTCGCTTCTTAGTAAGTAGTATGAAGTTGATAATCTTGGACGTAAAATGCAATTATGTTCACGGTATGATTGCAAGATAAACAATATTTCTAGAATAGTAAAAAATTAATTTCTGAAAAATATGAATGAATTATGGAGTTCAATTTATTTCATCAAAAAGAAAGAAGAGAATTATAATCTGAGGAATCATAGTCACAAAAATCAGCTCGATAAACATTTCTCTAATTTAAAATTTGAAATCTGGAAAGCATATCAGTAATAAAAAAAATTCATTTCTGAATAATAAACGAGTCTACAGTGCAATTATACTCGGAGAATAATTGCAAAATGATAGAATTCACTTTGTTTCCTTTAAGAAGAAGAAGAAACAATGGTGATCTAGAGAATCATAGTCGCAAAAATCGGCTCTCTAGAGCCTTGACGTTTCGAAACGGCGTTTATTAACGTTGGCACGCGTCTGAATTCCTTCAGACTCTTTGTCATCAAACGGATAATCGAGAGTTGAATAAAATTGATTCATTCGTGTGCACGTAGGGTTAGGAGGGTATTATAACAAGATTATACGAGGCAGAGAGAAGGCTGAATGGGTCCTTGACATGATTAACTCTTGTTGTAGGTGGACCACGTTTCGACACGCTCACGTTGATCCTGCTTGTTGTTCACCAGACGTGTCCTTTCGTTTTCAATTCGTGGTAAACAAATTTCACGATAAACAAATTGCCCAGGTTATTATATAATCCACTTTAAAAGCTGATCTTGGTTGGTTACATGATCGATAAACAGGTGTATTTAAACTCTCGAGCCTCTTTAAATTCGAAACTCTCAATTCGTTAAATTCTGTAATTTTATATATGTATATAAATCAGATTTCTTCTTCTTTGTACGAATTTTTGCAGACCATTTCTTTCCAAGCACCGTTATACGATAGATATAGAAAAGAAGGTAAAACTTCGATAGGATTGTTTGAAGGAGAAACGAGTAATATCGATTTTGAAATTATTCAACTTCGTGAAGTGACACCTCTGTCACATAATGGATATGAAGAATTCTTAACGAAGGACTTTCGCGCAGTGGCCAGTTACTCGCGATAGAAAATTACGAAAGAGCTTGGTCTCAAGGGTGAGAATAAGCTTCGTTTGTTCTATAGATGGTATTCGACGTGTCTAACGCCGACACGAAAGTGACACATATGCTTCCTGAAAACCCTTTACCCTCAACCAGACACAATAATCGAAAGTAATTGTTTCCATTATTTCCAAGAGGTGTTCGAATCGGTAGAACAAGCGTGTCAATTGGAAATTATACTTAATAATTTTCTTCCACGAAATATTCTT